AGACTGGAAGTAAGGTGTAATTTGCCACTGGGACAATTTACTAAAGGTCATGGTGGATTCTCCATCATTGACAATCTTTTTTCTAATAGATATGCTCTCGGAATTATTTTGCGGAAACTATGGCCTGTGTTATACATGAGATCAGACTACACAACAACAATGGTCCTTTTGGACTTGTAATCAATTAATTTGGCTTTACTGTCCTAAATGTGCCAATATAGACACACCTTAAAATATATGTCATCATGCCACCTAAGCCAGTGATTGAATAGGAGACCTCCAAAGAAAGTGGTACGAGCAATTCAGCAGCTAAGAAGATTCCCCAGCAGGGTTAAAAAGCACGTGCAAGGAGAGAGGCTCTATTTCAGACCTAATATAGAAAAGTTATTGTTTGTTATAAAAAGCTTTCATAGCCCTCTTTGCAAGAGCAGAGGTGTTCACCATGCTGTTTCGGCCAAATCCCAATTTGGTTATTATATTAGCTTCAGTCTGAAAGTTTATTCTTCACTTTGCCTCCTAGACTGCTGCATGGTGTTGCTGGTACCAAATGAGGTATGTTCCAATCCAGGGGCAGCTAAATATTTCACTTGTGGAGAAATGATTTCTTAATGGAGGCAAGTGTTGCCAAAACAGCTCAGTAAAAATATACACTTTAATAGAATATTTAACTTTTATCTTAATTTTTGCACTCTCATTTTATTACCACCAATTCTATTACTTGTTTACATTAACATCCATACTATTCTAGCACTTTCCAAAGAGCTCTCAATTTAAAAGACAAAATCAAAGTAGAAACATGCAGCAAAACAACTTAAGTGATTAAGGAGGTATTAGGCTATATAGTAATCTAATTGGCTAGCACAATGCATTCCATTTTGTGAGTATAGCTTAGCCAACTCCTTCAATATAAGAATCACCTCAATATTTAAGGGAATACAAAATGTAGATGAATGCAAGTTAGATTTATTCAAAATGTCCTCTAAAATATATTTATTTAAGCACATCCCCTTCAGCATTTGCCACGTTGTTGTAGCTGTGACAGTCCCAGGGTATGAGACACACAAAGTGGGTGTGGTAATATATTTAATAGCCCAACTTCTGTTGGTGAGAGACAATGTTTCAAGCTTACACTGAAAAAGAGCTCTGAGTAAGCTTGAAAACTTGTCTCTGATCAACAGAAGTTGGTCCAATAAAAGATATTATCTCACCCACCTTGTCTCTAAATACGGTCTGCAATTCTTAGAGCAGCAGCAGCATCTAATAAAACCAGAAATTAAAACCGGGCTAGTCTCATTGTCCAAAACATATGCATTACAAGTTAATATTTCTAGTTTTAGCAATCTAAGCAGTTCAAGAATGCCAAACACTTTTTACTATTACTGTTGCGGCAGGTCCTTGAAATGGCTCCTATTGAGCCCATTTACAGGTTTATCTTAAAAATTTTACTCTAGGGCATTCGGCGCAAAAAATAAAAATTCTGCACACAATATTTTTAAAATATGCAAAATTCTGCAAGTTTCATTTTTCAATAAATAAATGCACAGGCTCCAGCATGGCAGTGGTGAGCACAGGCCACTGGCTAGCACAGGCCACTGGCTGCACGAAGGCAGTCCCTCTCAGCCCCCAGACATGGATACAGTGGTGAGGCTGCAGCCGATCCTGACGCAGCACAAGGCTTGGGCTTGCCCCAGAAATAGCCTGGGGCCCTGCCCCTCTGCACCAGGTGCGGGGCAGGCAAGCTCAACCATGCAGGATCCAAGTGTGGATGGTCTCAGCGTGGGGGGGATCCAGGTGTGGGGTGAGAGAATTCTGTGTGGGACAATCTGGGTGCAGGCAGCTCAGTGGGGGTAGGGTGACCAGACTGCAAGTGTGAAAAATTGGGACAGGGGTGGGGGGGTAACAGGAGCCTATATAAGAAAAATACCCAAAAATTGGGACCATCCCTATAAAATCGGGACATCTGGTCACCCTAGTGGGGGGGCGGCAGAAGAGATCTGTCTGCATAGAGGCTTGTTGGGAGGGTTGCAGGGGCAACTGGACTCCACAGGGGCTTCCAGGTGAAGGTGGTTGGGGCTCAGCGGAGGGTCTGGGAGTGGGGGTATCAGCAGGGATGGTTGTGGAAGCGGGGCTTGGTGGGGTGGAAGTCTGGGTGCAGCTAGTTGAGGGTCAGTGGCATGAGAATCTGGATGTGAGGGCTCAGGGTGGTATGGGGTGGGGCATCAGGGTTGGGGGTTTGATTGCAGGAAGCTCAGTAGGGGGGGTGGTCTGGGTGCAAGGGGGGGGTTCTGGATTACCAGGTGAGGCTTGGCAGAGGTGTCTGGGTATGGGAGGTCCGGATGCATGCAGGGTTGGGTGGATGGGGGAGCAGTTCCCTGTACCAAGACCCCCTCCTCCCACAGGTGAGGAGAGATGGGGGCAGGAAACAGGGGAGGATGCTGAGCTTTCTGCAGCTGGGGGTTTCTGGGAGTAGGTCACAGCCCCAGCAACTCCTCACAGGGGAAGAGGAAGTCCCATCCTCTCCTGCCTCCAGCCCAGCCGGGACTAGCAGCTGATGCTAGCTCAGAGTAGGAGCACCTGGCTGGGGTGTCTCCAGCCCCGTGGTGATTTACCTCTCCACTGGCTGCTCTGGGGGTCCGAAACCATGTGCCTGCACTGCTAAGGAGTGGTGTGTGAGTGCTCTTGCACCTTCCCTTTGCTTCCCTGTCAGAATTTTTTTTTCCTGCGGGGAGGCAAAAAAAAATCTGCATGGGACGTGAACTCTGCGCACATACATTGGTGCAGAATTCCCCCAGGAGTTTAAAAAGATTAATCATGGCCAGAAGTTACATAGAAATACCATCTTTTTGCAGAGTTACCATTTATTACTCAAATGACTGAATACATAAGTGCAAATTTTTATTATTTTAAAGTCACTTTTAGCCCAGCAGCACCTACACAGCAGTAAAAAGAACAGGAGTACTTGTGGCACCTTAGAAAGTGACAAATTTATTAGAGCATAAGCTTTCGTGGACTACAGCCCACTTCTTCGGATGCATATAGAGTGGAATAAATATTGAGGAGATATATATATACACACACACACACATACAGAGAGCATAAACTCTCTCTATATATCCATTTATATATATATCCATCCTCAATATTTATTCCACTCTATATGCATCCGAAGAAGTGGGCTGTAGTCCACGAAAGCTTATGCTCTAATAAATTTGTTAGTCTCTAAGGTGCCACAAGTACTCCTGTTCTTTTTGCAGATACAGACTAACACTGCTGCTACTCTGAAACCTACACAGCAGTAATAGGTGATATCTTGGCAAACACGGTCTTTGATCCAAGCTATCATCCATAGGGTTGTCAGGCATAACTAAGGGCAGAATTTGGTCTACCGAAGTCTATTTTTAGTGGTAATAGAGAAAGCAGAGAAAGACCATTCTGCTTTTAAAAACTTACATTAAATTTGCAGGACTGGCAATTCAGACATACAATCTTTTAACTTGTAAACTGAATGAAACTGAAGTCAGAGAAACAGTCACCATGGAACCTAACTATGCCACAACTACACTATTTTCAGAGCTGAACTGCACTTTAAATATCTTTGCAAAGAAAGCAAAATACTCAACAGAACACCGAATGGCTAAACCCACAATGACTTAGTAACAAAACTCAACTACACACGGTTCATCCTGAGGGCTATTTATTGCTTACCTCTGCCAAAAGCTGGGTACATCAGCTCCAGCAGTGGCTTTGATTATGTATAAATGCTGCTGTTGCTTAAATTACAGCGCCATTTCAGCAAAATGCCAGAGCGAGACCAAACAGCGGCCCCTTCAGCCCCCGAGAATACTGGAGCCAGCTCAGCTCTGCCTCGCGGGGAGGCGCCACCCTCAGAGACCGAGTCCGCTTTCAGAGCGACCCCAAAGGAACGGAGCGAATAGGGAGTCCGGATGCTGCCGGCCCTTTGCTTCCCCTTAGTTCTCCCTGCCGGTGCCGGCCGAGCGGTCAGGCACAGCACTACTCGCAGCAGGCTCCGGGCAGCGACCGGACCGGCGTCTGCGCCGCGAGACCTGCTCCCGCTTTCCCCATCTCGCCAGGCAGCTCGCCGGTGTAGCCCCACAAAATTTAACAAACAGTTTACCAAACTGCTACGCTGCGTGGCAGAAACCGCTCCCAGTAGCAAAAGGGGAGGGGAGCATTTTGTGGGGCTACACCGGCCGGGACCCGGGCAAGTCCGCGCGCAGCGGGGCGCTCGTGTCATGGCGCAACGTTGCCCCGGGGGGCGCGGCGGCGGCGGCGAACCAAGCCCAGCGGGCCGAGAGGAACAGGCCGGGTAGGCGCCAGAGGGCCGGGCAGGTGTCGCTCCCAGCAGGGAGCCTCCCCCGGCAGCACAAAGGAGCCCGGCTGGCGGCACGGACCGGGGAGACCGGAGCACAGGGGTGGCGGAGAGGACCAGGGGCGCCCGAACCCCCCCCCACCTACCGCCGGCTGGGGTCACATCCGCCTCCTCGTTCCCGTGCCTGGCCAAGACGCGTCCCGCCGTTCCGGCCCAGGCGGGTTCCCGACACCGGCAGCAGCGCGTTAAAAACTCCACCCACTTCCACCTCAACCACTACCGCCGCCACCACCCTCTTCTGTTGGGGGGAAAATGCGCCACCAGGGCTTCACTGCGCAGGCGCTAGGCCCTCCCACTTGTTTTAATTAGCACTCGATTCGTCCCACCCCCTGGCGGCCCCTCATGCGCGATGCATCATGGGATATGTGGTTCGGGTGTGAAGCTCAGCTCCTTCATAGGCGCAGAAGAGCGGCGAGGGAAAGAACTGCGTTACCCATGAGCCTCTGCGGCGCCGAGTCTCTGTTTCCATAGAATTGGTGGAAAAATGACGTTAGTGTTTCCGATATGGGGGCCAATGGTGCAGGGAGACGGGTGGGCCTTACCGGTTCCGGACCAATAGAGAAAGTGCAGGGCGGGGAGAGGGCGGGTCTCTATCCGTCAGTCACTTTGTGAGGTGGGGGGAGGGGAGTGAGAGGCTCCGAACGGAGCAGCCACCGCCAGCGCCGGGTCCGGGCAGGGGGGATCGGCCCCATCATACGCAGCGCGGAGCTGCAGCCGTCGCCAGAGCCCTTGCTGGGGGATTGATCCGGGGCCAGCACCAACCCAACGGGTCCGGAGCCGGGAGGAGGCTTCGTCCACCATCTCCTCCCGGGTCAGGGAGAGCCGCGGGCGGGCGGGCGCCGCGGAACAAAGGTAACAGCGACAGCAGGAGAAAGAGCCGCCCCGGCCCCGCCGCCAGCGGGTGAGGGAGCGGGGCGTTCGCTGCTTGTGGCCGTTCCCAGGCGGGAGCGGGGTTGTTTTTGTCCTGGCGAGACTGCGGCGGGACTCGCTGATTTCCCCCCCCCCGTCGCCCCCCGCGCGGGAGGTGGGGGGTGGTGAGGGGCTGGAGTCGCTGCGGGGCGGCGAGGAGCCCTACGGGGGCTGCCTCATTACTGCCTCTGCTGATCGGGTCCGGCCCGCTGCGCTGGGCAGTTGCGGCTGTTGCTGTTAAAACTCCTGTCGCGGAGTCAGCGCTTTCTTTTATGGGGGTGGGAGAAGCTGCCGCCTCTGTCGGGATCCACAGAGCCGCAGCCCCTCCAACGGGGAGAGCTGCCACCCAACCCCCTCCTCTTCCTCATACAATGGAGGAGCAGCGGCCCCTTCCCCCCCCTCCGCCGCAGCAAAGTGGGGGGGTTTCCAGGGATCAGACATCGCCGCCCCCCTCCAGCCCGCAGGTCTCTGGGGAGAGGATTGAGAGCCCCGGCCCCTGTGAGCTGGGCGCGGAGCGGGGACTCTCCTGGAGCAGCCGGAGAGGCTGGGGGTGGGTTGTTGTTGTGGCAAGTTTCTCCTCCTCTGACAGAAATGGCGTCAATGGCAGCGAGTGAAGGGGAAGCCGAGCCGCGGTGTGTGGGGGCTGGAGGGAAAGCAGTGGCCGAGCGCGGGGAGGGGGGACTGAATGGGGCGATATCGCAAATGGAGGGTGGCGAGATCTGGGAGAAGGGGGTTGACCAGGATCCCGGCGGCTCCCCCGCCTGTTCCCCCCGCGCTCCGGTGCAAACGGCTGGTGCGGTGGCTCAGTGCTTTGTTTTAATTCCAGGTCCAGCCTCGGCCGCTCAGCCCCGATCGGGGGCTTTTTTCCGCAGCCTGAGCTCATCATGAAGGTAAAACCCTCGTCTCTCTGTCTGGGAAGGGATGGGGAGAGGGTTGCATGAGGGAATGGTGCCCGATTTGTCCCGGCCCCGCTCCCCGGTGCGAGGTTCGGCGCTGGTGCGGATCTAGGCTGCTTCGCCCCACTGCCGTGGTGGTGCCTTAGATGCCTTTGGTGTTTGCTGTGCAGGTTTGGCTCCGCCAGGTTTTGCTGAGGGACTGTGTAAGTTCACTGCGAGCAGGTCGTTCCCTTTCCGAAACCACCGTTCGTGGGGGAATAAGGACATGGCTGCCGGGCCAAGCTTGACGAAGGAATAGGGGACAATCACTCCGCTTCGGAAAGTAACATTGCAGAGGAACTATCAGCATTAATTGAGGTTAAATGATGGATTTACTTTCTGTGCCTTAACGGGAGTTCTGTAGAATTAATAATCGTGAGCTGAGGAGATGGTGTCTGTATAGAGGATGCTCTGCAGTGAAGGTAGTGCTGTAGGATGCAGAATGATTTTCAAACAGCTTTTTAGTTTCCTTTTTAGTGCTGTGTGCAGTATCCACATACACCATTGTCAGTCAGAGGCATTTGTAGACCATTGATACTTGGTATATTAGGCAAGCCTGATTGAAGTGATTGTTCCACTCGATATAGATGTTTTTGTGAAGAATCTTGCATTTCATTAGTAGATTTATCAAGTGTGATTATCAGCCTTTACCCTGATTTACTCTTGGTGAATACAGTGTCTTGTCTTAAATACTGTTATTTGTATTACAATAGCACCCAGAGTTCTTAATCAGGATCATGCCCCCATTGTACTGCATTAAATCTGGCTTCTAAGTTTTATAAAACTTATCAACTACATTTGTTGTATAACTGCAGAACATTTTTTGGAATATATGTACAGCCTGTCAGCTTTATTATTCATTGCTAAATACAGTAATCTCCTGCTAGAGTCAAACTTCTTTGGGGTTCTGTATATGTGTGCCCATGTGTATATTATATCAAATGTATATACAACATTGTATTCAGGAAACACTAGAAATAGCAGAGGATACAAACAGTTCTATTTAACTGGATTCAGTAGGGGATACTAAACACAGTAAAGTACGTAAGGTTCAGTACATTCCCTTTTGGTTACTAATGAAAGAGACATAAAATGTACAGTTTTAACTATTATTCCCTATGTCTTTTCTTTAATGGGGGAGTAACTTAGTGAGGTCTGAAGTAGTCGCCAATATTTGTATTTCATTAATAAGTTGCATCTAGTAAGAAATAAAAACTATGGTTAAATGTTTACAGCAGCTTTATATGGAAGTTCCCAAATTGTGGTCCATGGCTTGCTCATCTGTGGAGTGTTGGCTAAATACATGGTCCTCTTTCTACTCGTGTCCATGTTGGGCGATGGAACGGATAGGAGCAGGAGATGAAATCTAGAGTGGGGGTTCTCAACCATTTTCTTTCTGAGGCCCCCCACAGCATGTTATTAAAAACCCCATGGCCCACCTGTACCATAACAACTATTTTTCTGCATATCCTGTAAAAGCCAGGGCCGGCATTAGGGAGTAGCAAGCAGGGCCCCACACCACAGGTGACCCCACAAAGCAAAGTTGCTCAGGCTTCGGCTTCACCCCAGCTGACCGGTCTTGGGCCTCGAGCTTCAGCTTTCTGCCCTGGGCCCCACCAAGTCTAACACTGGCCCTGCTTGGCAGACTCCCTGAAACCTGCGTGCGGACCTCCAGTGGGCCCTGGACCCCTGGTTGAGAACAGCTTATCTAGAGTAAATGGAGACAGAGTGGTGAACTTTTTTTTCCAAAAGGATCTAAAGGCAGCTAAATATATAGAAGTACTTTTCTAATACTACTTTTCCATGTAAACAAATGCGTAATTACCATGGAGATACTGTTGTTCAGATACTGTGGTTAAAGGATACATATAAGGGCCTACGTATACAACTGTGGGGGTGAGGACCACAAATGGGAGGGGAAAGTGTTCTATATAGCACAGCATGAAAACCCCTCTTTTAGCTCAATTGAATAAGTAGCAAAAGGCTTAAATCTTAAATATCAGACACAAAAGCCTGTTATAGATCCATATTTTAGACAGTATTTTAACAAAAGCTAGAAGTTTCTTTAGTTATAAATAAGATTCAGACTGCCATTGATACAAGAAGTTTGATTTTTTAGTATGATTTTAAAACATGTTTTGTGATTTGTTCATGATGAGATCTGAACTTCTATGTGGTGAAGATGAGCAAACCGACTGTCTGGAATTTCGCTTTAAAATTAATTTGGGATTTAAATTGGAAGATGTAACTCTAAAAAGGAGCTTCACTGTAACTAACAGCACAAAAATAAAATAAAATTTTAGCTGGTTTTAAGCTTCCAGAGAGTAATACAGCATGTCTCATGCTAAATAAATGTATATCAGTTTACAATCTTGTGAGTTAGTTTGCATATCCATAAGGATATTGCGAGGATACAAGTTTGTCTAATCAGAAGTAATAGAAGAGAGTGAACAGGGAATTCTTTTTTTCTATTCACCTACATCACAGAGTAACTGAATGACTGATAAAACAGAGTAGGATGGTGCTTAAAAAACATGACTGACTTTGTTTATAAACTACTGGAAGAGTGTAATGATGGACATTTTTGCATTTAGAGGATTGAACTCTAAAGACCCAGTTTTACAATGAGCCTGCCCATATTGTGCTGCTCATTGCAGGATTGGGGCCTAAGCCTTGATTATTGATTTAGTGATCTTTCCTTCAGATGAAGGAGTCAGTGTATTTTGTGGATAGGGCATTAATTTGGGAGTCTGGAGATCTGTTCTAGCCCATCTCTGCCACTGGCTCTTTTTGTGTGAACAGTTCAGCTTTACTATGCCATATCCTTCCCATCTGTGTAACGAAAATAGGATATTTACTCTTCTTTGTAAAGCTCCATGGAGGAAGAATGCTATATAAGAACTAAGTAGTAGTATTAAAGTAGTATTAAGTTCACTTAACATGCTTAGTTATGGCTTGGAACTGTGAGGGGAACAATGGTGATATTGTCTCCCAACACAAGGTTTCTCATCCTTTTTTGAATCACTCCCCACCTTAGCATTTTTTTAACATGGACCTGTCCCCACATCCACGAGAGCACAGGCACCAGTTTAGATTTCAATAGGAGGGACAACTTTCAGCTGGGGTCCAGGGGCCACTTAAGCCCTGGATGCTCTTGGATATTTTTTTAAGATAAATATGTTAAGATCAGTCTATTTCAGAAGCATTGTTGTGATTATTTCCTATACTACCCAGCAGTGCCCCCCAAAGTCATTCCCCCAAATCACCTGACAGGGCCCTCCCACCCCATGGTCCTCCCAGATTACCTAGCAGCTCTCACCCCCCTACTCCTTGTAACCCCACCTGGCAGTGCCCCTACCCACTGTATTGCCCCAGCTTTAAATGACCTGGCAGCGCCCTCACTTGGTATCTTCCCTTCCCCTTCCCTCAATCACAAATCCATCCTACAGCGAGAGTGGAGGGGTGGGGCGGGGGGGGGGGGCACGTGGAGAGGATTCTGCTGGAGGGAGGAGTTCCCACTCCACATACTGCTCCTCTAGGTGTTCCTGCTCCCCAGGGTCAGTACTCTCTACCACAGGTTGGAGTTCTGCAGGTGGAGTCCCCTCGCATCTAGAGCTGCAGTGACTGATAGCACCACAGGCCAGTCATGGCTCTCCTGTAAAAGTTGGGTTCTGTGAAGCAATCCTAGGGTCCATTCAAAGCACCAACTGCAGCCCATCCTCCATGCTCAAATCAGCTGGCCATTTGGCCTGCCTGTGCCTCCCCCCCAGCCTCCTTGCCTTCTCCTAATGTGTGTACCACCTCTTATAGTCAGTGATAGCAATGTATTCCCCACAACAGCACATCTAGATCCAAAGAAATTAATCCCTTTGTATACTAATACGTAATACCTCAGCCTACCAAGAGTGCTATGTACATAAGCTGCAAAGATGAAAAAACATTACAGTTTTGTTTATATAAATGTTGGAATAAAACCAAACTGGATGTTCTACTAGGTAAACAAAGCTTTTCTCTCTTGTTATCACATACTGGCCTAAACTAGAGAAAGGCTAGAGTGGTGTGTGAATTGCTATAGCAATTTCTGAGTTCTAATTGGGATTTTCTTAATCACACTGCATGCCTTGCACATGACTCTTAGCAAAATAAGAGTGTTTCAGATGGTTAAAGAATCTTGGATTGCCAGCAGGTACCTTTTTACGAAGTAATTATGTTCCAACAACTAGTTTTATATAACACAATTGTTGAAAAGCAGTCTATAAGCTTTCTATCTTAAAATTTTTTAAAGTCGGGATTAACCTACAAAAAAGACCTACAACATGAGGTGTACTTTTTTTGTTTTTTTAATCTAAATGTTAGGGCTGTAGATATTTAATTGGAACTTAAGCACTATAGTTAGATATTTAAAAAGTGTTTCTGAAAGTATTTTCCTTTACCTTTTGTTAGTGAGAGCACTTAATATAAAATTTCTCACTGTGGCTTGGAAATGTACTTGATGCTGACTAGCTGTATGATAACAGAAGTAGTCAATATTGTAGAAACTTAGAGTTGCACTGTGAATCAAGTACAGTAGAACCTCATTTATGTGACCCTCCTTTATCCAACTCTCTGTATTAACCAAACAACCAGCAACACAGGTCCAGAAGCAGATGATCTCTCCTATGGCCACTAGACGGTGCTGCAGCCTTGCATTGTCCCATTCTCCGGATTATCCGAATTTTTGATTATCCGATCTGGCCCTGGTCCCAGTTAGAGTGGATAAATGGGGTTTTGCTGTGTGTGTCTGGTTAGATCTAATGTGGTTGTAACAAAAGAAAATGTTGAAAAATGCCTATTTAAATGTTAGTATATCCTTGACCTTTAAAACTGGAGCTTTAATATGCCAAGCCTAAATTACAGTTTTACATAATTGTAGATATATTTGTATTCCATAGCCTCAGGTGTTGTGGGGTGCTCAT